ATTTAACTCCATTAGGTTGTTTAGGCAGTAAACTTTTCTAAATACATATTACATGGGGAATTGTCATTACAAGGGGACAAGGGGGAAATCCTCATTGATGTGGGGAACTCTCCCAAGGCTGCTGAGAGCAGCAGGGCTGGCTGAGGAGCAGCACTCCTGGCTGCAGCCCTCAGGGTGTGTTTCCCTGCAGCTGGCCTTCGCTCAGCACCAGGCAGAGATGGCCAAGATGGAGCAGTTTGACAAGGTCTGTGCAGAGAAGCTGGAGTGGTATGGAAGTCTCGTGGGTGAGTTCTTGTCTCGGTACTTTGCAGTAGTAGTTAAGATCGCAAAATATCAATCCATAGTATCCCAGGATACTCAGATTTCTTCATGGGAATTCTCTTCAAGACATGATTACATGGTTTTACCCTTTTCCCATCCCATAAGACTTTGTTTTCTAGGCCTTGGGAGGAGAACTGATGACAGCTGTACTTGGGATATGTCATGGTGTTACTTTGTCTTGTAACTTACCTGTTTCCCCAGTACCATTCAGTGCTGTTTACTAAAGCCAAGCAGGCAGAGGTCAGGACAAGGATTTTTTTTCATGTATCAGGCCTATGATTTCAGGAATTGGATCTGTAGTTGTTTATTCAGGTGTTAGTGCTTTACAGAGGAAGCTGATTTTTTTTTATTAGCTGTTACTTCTCTCCAGTGCTATAGCAGGTAGATGACAGGTGGCAGCTCTTAGAGTGCTTGTTATGGTCTTCCCTGTGTAATTTCTCTGTTGTTTTTGATTACATGTCAATGATTTATGTTCTGACTGCAGTAAAACTGAACTACAGAAACACTGATGTCATGAATCACTTATTTATAATGTAAAAGTTCTCTTAAGAAGTAAGACTTCCTGCTGGTAACTAAAAGAGACCCTTGAATCCAGCAACCAAAGTAGACAATTTCAATCTCCCTGCAGACTGGCAGATGGGCAATAACACAGTGTTACTGCTGTGTCAGTAGCTGTGAACACAGTGTGCAAGTTCATAGTTTCCACAGATGAGACTTTTTTCCCTGAGGCTTCTGGGAACTATCTCACCATAAAGAGCTTTCTTGATTATACATGGGAAAACTTCAGGTTCTTCTCTTTGTTTCCAGCCTTCCCTCCCCTTCCTGCATCCCCCTGTACTGCCAAGCCAATCTCAGATGTGTAAAAATAAATCTCAGTTTTGAACTGTATCTAGAAGAGTTCTCTTAATATCTGTAACCAAAATGCTCCTTTCTGTATTGCTGCTGTGTCACAGAATATCTTCTTAAAAAGTTGTAATAATATGTGTTTGCTTTGACTTCAGAATGGCTTCGAAGTACGTGGACGTTTCAGGATGATCCCTGTAAGAAGTATTATGAGATTCTGCTTGTAAATCCTGTTTATATGGTTCCACCATCAAAGGTATGTGCCAAGCCCAAAGGGACTGCCAAGGCCTCGGTTGTTGTTTGTGTGACAACTCTGATCTTCTGTTTATTTTCTAGGCCTTGGCAGTAACTTTCACCAACTTTGTAACTGAGCCTTTGAAGGACATAGGACAAGGTATTGGTGAATTCATCAAGGCACTTATGAAGGAGATACCGTTAATTCTGCAGGTTCCAGTGCTCATTACGATGGCTCTGGGTGTCCTGGTTTGTATACATTCATCTTACATTTAGAAACTCCGTTTTATTTTTTAAATATTAAATGTGTTTATATTTAAGTATTGTCTATTATATTAATATATCTCGTTTGTACAACTGAACAGATTTCTTAGCACAAAGAAATTACTTCTGCAAGGGAATTTTTTCTTGACAAAGGCTTCATACTACTGTTGTTCTAGGAATTAAAAGAGCCAAGTTTTGTATTGAAACTGTATTCCTTTCCCACTCCCCAAGTGGGATATAGTAGCATTAAACTGCTTAAAATCTTAGGGTCTCTGACAGTTTACTTCACCTTAGTTCCCATTTCTTCTGTGAATCATTACATTGTGATGTGTGTAGTTGGCATTTAACACGAAGGCATTGAGTTTGAGCTTTAAACATCTTTAATGTAGCACTGACACTGAACTGCATCCAGCCTGGCAGTTCCTGCAGCGTGCTCAGACTGCAGGAAGCTTGTGCTGGAGCCATTCTCTTCACCTGAGCTTTTCCTTCAGGGTCTTTCAGATATATGACAGGACATCTGTGAAAACCATAGGCTGCAGATATTTGGTGTTTTGCTTAGTTTGGGTGTTTTTCCTCTTCCCCAGACTTTCTGCTATGGTGCAGGATCATCAGTATCTGCATTAAGATACTTAAGGTCTTCTCAGAAGAAGAGTCTTCCTCTGCCTGCTGGTGAGCAGGAGCAAATAGCCTTTGGGCAGTACGATGGGAGGCCAGCAGAGGAGTACTATGTGCAGCAGCAGCCGTTTGTGCCCAGAGGCCACCAGGACAGAGGGGACGCTGCCACGAGGCCTCTCCCCAGGCTGAGAGCTGGCAGCAGCCGCAGGAGCACGGACACGGCACACACCAGCGACGAGCCGGACACGCAGGTACCAGGGTCGCACAGGGACTGGGGTCGCACAGGGACTGGGGTCCCACAGGGATTGGGGTCCCACAGGGACTGGGGTCCCACAGGGACCGGGGTCCCACAGGTACCAGGGTCCCACAGGTACCAGGGTCCCAAAGGGACTGGGGTCCCACAGAGCACAGCCCGAGGCGGGTCCCACAGGGATTGGGGTCCCACAGGGACTGGGGTCCCACAGGGATTGGGGTCCCACAGGGACTGGGGTCCCACAGGGATTGGGGTCCCACAGGGACTGGGGTCCCACAGGGATTGGGGTCCCACAGGGACTGGGGTCCCACAGGTACCGGGGTCCCACAGAGCACAGCCCGAGGTGTCTGCTGGAGCTCTGGGAGCTGGCATTAAACTGAGCAGATTGCAGTGGCACCTGCTACAACACATTTAACCAACACGCTTAAACCCAGATCTGGGGAGAGAGGAGCTAAGGAGCCACACGTTCCCCTATGGAACAGTTTGATAAAGGTGTCTTGGATGTGTTTCTTCTGGAAAAATATCTTGCAATGGCTAACTGTGGCAAGAAAATACTGAATTAAAACTCTTTATGGTAAAGACAGCTTCAGTTTTGAGAGATCAGTATGTCTCTCAGTCTGGGCAGTCATGATAACCCACAGAAGAAGTGTGGAGGAAAAAAGCAGTGCTGACTTCCCTGTAAACTGCAGAAAATTCAGAACAGATTTATACTCTATATTGCGCTTATTTACATGTTTTGTTTCCCGAGGGAAAAAAATGCCCATCATGCTTTGGGTGAGCCCTACCCCTTTAGCTGGGATGCACGTGAAACAATAGATGCTGTCACTTTTGATTGCGTAATTAATAGATTATTATTAATTTTTTGCAGAATAGGTTGCACACTGAATCTGAAGTTCATAGACTTGAAACTCTCAAAGCTGAAAACCTTACTGCAGAAGCTGCACTTGAGCAGCAAAAACAGGAGACAGGCAAAGTAAAGGAAGAGACTGAAGAAAACTGTGACCCTAATAAAAACCTAGAAGGGAAAAGTTCTGCTGAGGAGCCGTGCGAAGAGAAGAAAGAGAGTGTTTTACCTGACTCCCAGGAAAGAGACTGAGGAAAACCCATGCCCTGCTGTAAGTTTTGTCTAATCTTTACTTGTCATGTACTTGATAATTCTGCTCTCATTCTCAAGTATAGGAGAGAGAAGAACATCAGTAAGCTGTTAGGTGGGAATGTCAAATCTGGGAGAGGGTACCTTGTCTGGAATCTGAAATAAAGGTGTTAAGTAAGATGATACACCTTTAAGTGGCCAGAAAAAAAAACAGGCTTCTGGAGTGTTGCTGCTTGGTGGAAATCAGGTTTGTGTAATAAGTTTTGAGTCATTCCCATAATGCTAACTCCCACTTCAGATGTCTCAGGTCTGTCTTTGGGTTTATGTTCTTCAAAATCAGTTTGCTTCTGGTCAGCTCAGTTTTAGGACAGCTGATGGATTTCCTCCTGCTGTAATGATCTGCAGAGGGTGAGAACCCAGTGTTGTAGCAGGTGGTTTTTAGGCAGTTCAGAGCTGAACAGGGCCAGGAGCAGGAGCTGCCCTGGGGATGGACATGCCAGTGGTTGTTCCCCAGAACTCCCCCAGCCTGGCTCATCTTTAGCCAGAGCTGGAGAGGAGCTGAGCTCAGGTACAGGAAGCAGCAGCTGTGCATTTCCTGTGTGTGGCACTGGAAGTTGGGGGTGCTGCAGGTCCCAGGCCCACCTCCCCTGTGATTCCCTGGTGCATGGGCACGTATCTCACAGGCTGTAGAGCAGCATGAGCAGCTGTTTCTTGAAAGTAAGTACTTCTTGAAAACTTCTCCTGATTGCAGAACTAATGTGGGAAGCAGTTAGCTAAATATGATAGCTTGAAAACCATAGCCGAAAAACCATAATGCTTGAAAAAACTATTTTTTATTAAACAGAATTAAAACTATGGTTTCATTTTTTATAGAAATTACTGTTTCTTCCAAACTGTGTTTCTGCAAAGAGACTAACTAAAGCTATTTCTTCTTTTTTTAAAATCATTTTTTTTAAAAAAGTATAAAAGAAAACAGAACTTTTTTTCAGGAAGTACAAATCAGGGGCGGAAATCAAATTTTCTTTAAAAAGAACATAATATTTTAAGTCTTTCACTAGATTGAGACAGTGGTAGAATCCAGTAATGAGCAATGAGAGAATTGACAGAGAAAAAAGAAAGTCGTAATAATTTTGATAGACTAGAGGCAAGTAAGAGGGAGACACAGAACCAGTACCTCAGACACTGCTCTGAAAGCAGCTGCCAAGTGCAAGCAGCTCTGAACTGCTGCTCACCAGGGCGATGCTGCTGCTATTTCTGTGAAAAATCAGGAGAAAGGACACAGAGCTACTAATTGTAGTCATCTTAAAAAAGGCAAGTGTGCTCTTCCAGCAAACCAGAATGATCCCTAGGATGCTGCTGTACATACTTCTGGGGTCTTCAGCTGGAGTTGGATCCCTTTATAGCTGAGGGTAAGTGGACTCTCTGCTCATCCATTCTCTTTGCTTGTGAGCGCAAAATCAGGCTGAAAAAATCCTCATCTGGTACAGTGGGGCCTTTGGCAGCTCCTGGAGGAGCACATCTCTGATCATCCAGTCTGGAACCCTGCAGACAGACCAAGCAATAAACACTGCATATTTACAGGAAGATATGGAGTAAGTGAACAATACTAAGTGAAAAAACTACTAAAACCTTTTGCTGGCAGATTTAAAGCTGGTAGGGAGATTTAATTTATAAAAGTTTTGTTTCAAGTTAAACTTGCTAAATGAAATTATTGGGTCCAAGTGTAACTAAAATGGTTCCTCTGACCCACTTGTCCCATATGTCTGAAAATGATCCCCCAGTTCAGTTCTTTGACATATTGCAAAATGAGATTTAAGTGTCCCTAGTTCAGAAGGAGATTTTAGCATTAGTACAGGATGTTTCTGGTCTCATATACCAGGAATATATGATTGTCTTCCTTTCCTTACACAGGGACTAAAAAATGGCTGTAGTGGTGTGAGATTTGGGAAGGCACTCCCTTGCCTCCACTCCTAGCAGCTGGGTACAGTTTAATGCCAAGGTTACAGAGTAGAACCTGCTGGGCTGGGCACAGGAGGAGCAGCACAGCTTTCAGCGGTGGGTGGGCCTGGGACAGGCACCCTTGAGACAAAAAGGCTTAAAGGCAGCAGCCCTTCTGTGTTTAAAGCAGTCCATACTGATCAGAGGAGATTAAATATTTTTCCAATCCTAAAAGAGAATATTTCTAGATTCTTTGCTTGACTCACAGAAGGAAACAGACGAGCTGCTGTAACAGAACATGGTTATTTCAGCCACTGTAGCCTCAATTCTAGGTGCTGCTTTCTCAGCCAGGCCACCATACTTACTGACCTTTGAAGAACTCAGCATCTGAATTTTGTATTTTTGGCTGCTTACCAACCAATCAGAAAAACCAGCAAGTATTTTTAATTTCTTTTGGTCTAATTGGTATATGCACATGCTCTAATTAAAAATCAGTCACTTCACTTGTATATTGCTATAAACTATCATTAAAACTTAACCTCATGGGAATGATGACCACTCTTACCACCAAAACCCTGGATACTAAATTCTTTCAGTTGATAAATTAGGATTGCTGGTGTATCAGGTGCCCTCCTTAGCAAGCCAGGTCTAAACACTTCAAAACCATTTTACATACTCCTTGCAATAGCCTCACTTGTTTTTCTTCACTTTTTAAGCATTTCTAACTTCTAATAGTTATTGTGGTGTAAATACCAAAATTATACTTACTAGACACTGGATAATTAAAAAACCCCAACCTTCACCTTTTCTTCTCTTACATTCTTCCTTATCAGTCAGATCAATACGTCTCTTAAAACACAGTGGGGCTTCCTTACAGGAACTCAGTAGAGGCCCAGGCCAGAAGCTGGCTGTGGTTGTTAAGCATTACCTGGCATTTGATCAGTATGTCGAAGAAGTCGTCGTCCAGGTCCCTGTTGCTGCTGGCCACCAGGTGGCCGAGCAGGGCGTGGCTGCCGCGCTGGCGCAGCCGCAGCCCGGGCAGCTCTCCCACGCTGGCGCGCTGATCATCGAGCCGCCGGCTCTGCGAGCTCGCCAGCAGCTCCAGGAACTCGTCCGTGCGCGGGGACACCGCCGACGTGGAAAAGGCTGCCCGGACAGACAGAACAAGGTCACGTTAGCCTAGGAGTGAATCCGTTGCTGTAGTGAGTCTTGCACGGAAATACATTCTGAAAATAGTATTTGGCAAAAACTCGAGTCAAATACAGATTTTACTGTAAAAAATTTACATTTTATCATCGTTTTAGGTGGAGTGGAGGATGTTGCCACTGAAGGAGCTGAGAGCCTGTTCTTCTCCTGGAAGCAGCACCTCTGATCATCCATCCTGTTACTCTGGAACCGACTCAGCAGATCAAAGAACCCTTCGTCTGCCATCGTCTCACGGCTGCTTTTCTGAAAAGGAGAAAATTGAGGGTGTTTGACCTTAGAGTGCCTACAGCTGGGACAACTGCATCAGAGTTTCAGTCCAGTGATATGCTTGATATTTACATATCTGAAATTTATTAAATAAATTTTTTTTAGTCAACTATTTCTATAGCCAGAGATGGTAATGCTAGGGCAGCATTTTGGAGAGTGAAATACATTAGAAATGTCTCATTCTCTGAAATGGAAAGAAACAGTGCTCTGATCATGTAAAATGGGAGTTATTCCTCCTCAGCCATTAATCCAAGAAAACCCCAACTGCCTATGAGAGGAAGAAGAAACAAGACCAGCATTGAACAGTTACCCTTGTCTCCTCAGGCCCAAATGACTCAGTTCTTTTATTTTGAACTGACTTCTCTCAGGAGTGTAATACCCTAAAAAGTGTGTCCAAGATCCCTCCCACTGCCTGAATCAGAAAAACTAAATTTTGCTAAGTTTGGAGAAGTAAGGTCTAGAAGAGACTTAGAACCTCAGCTTGCAAATTTTATTTCTAACTTCAAAAAAATCCACCACAAATAAAATGTTTCAATAGTAGGAAAATCTTAAAGGTGGCACTACCACTGAGAGAGCTGTAGAATGACAGATTCTGCATCAGTTTAGAGCCACAGTGTTTAAATCATGTTAAATTGAACAGGCTCCAGGAAGGTGTTTTCCACAATTCTGATCACACAAGGATGAGTAAGGGCCATGAGCTCACCACACCTACCCTCTGAGAGTTTGGAAGTCGATGATCAATGGAGTTACTGGCATCCTGCAAAACTTTGGAGGTGGTGCCATTTTTGTACTTTTTGCCTTTTAGTCGATTTACAAAATGAAGTTTTGCTGAAGTTTTGGCAACCAGTGGTTTCTGTTTAGCAAGAATCTCACTGTTCCAGTTTGGAACCTAAGAAAACAAGAGTCAGAAAATAAAGGCTTTTGATTTTACTTACCAGTACTGTTACCTCTTACTTGCTGCTGCTTTTCCTCCCCAAAATGAGGCAGCTTGTTCTTGCAGCCACAAGGATGTACCTTGATTTTACTTACCAGTACTGTTACCTCTTACTTGCTGCTGCTCTTCCTCCCCAAAATGAGGCAGCTTTACACTATTTTGTTCTTGCAGCCACAAGGATGTACACAAAGAGGCTCTTGAGCACCAGTGCTGACTTCAGCTGTACTGACTGCACGTGCTTTGAGATTTTATTGATTAACATAACAGGCTTTGCTTTACTTGAAGAGACTGGAATTAGATATCCCAGTGTGGAGGGAAAAATATCAATTTCAGTCTGCCACTGTAATAATTAATGCAGAATTGCCAGCCCAGTGTTGAAAGGCAGAACATAAAAGAAATCTCTCATAGACTGATACAAGGATTTTAATCAGGAACTCCCATTGCCAAAAGATTTCTGAGCTTGGGGGGGAAGTTGTTTTGCCTGTGACTCAGCTGTAACATTTCTGAAATAGCATCCTTACTCAAGATGGAGTTTGAAGCTTCTGATGGTTTGCAAGTTGGTTGAAATCTCAAAGTGAAAAACAGCATGTATTTTAAGCCCCTATAAAATTACTGTAACCAAAGAAAAAGTGCTCAGAAGAGCTTAGCTAAAGCTTAGGAATTTTATTCTGAATTACTTTCATGCTGCAACCTCAACCCATCTCTATAAAGAGACAAAAATTCCTTTGATGCTCATTACAGAACCCCATTCTTTCTCATTTGTGCAGGGAATAAAGCAGGCTTCCAACAAGCCACTACAGCCATCACCTGTCACATGCTGTTACCCACATGACAAAAGTATTATTTGTTAGTATTGTGAGACTGGCTGTTATGGAGCTCCTATGATCAACTAAATTAAAAAGGGAGGCAAATGGCACATCAGCACACACTCAGAAATGTTTCACTTCAATCTCAGCAGCAGAACAGGAAGCAGCAAAGTGCCAACCTTTTCTGGTGTTAATTTCATAAGTTCCATGTTCTCCATGCTGTAACGGCGTCCTCTTGGTCTGCCACCTTCAAGAGACAAATTCATCTTTTTATCATTAAAAATTGTGGTGTCACTTGACAAGCTGTGGCTGTACTCATCTGAGGTCCAAGACACGGACACAATTAGAACACATGAAGAAACTAAGCAGTAACCTGTGATTCACAATATAAACCCTCCAGAAAAGGAGGTGCTGAAGGGCTCCAATACCGCAATGACCTTTTGTAGCTGTGGGGGAGAAAACCAAGCAAACTTTCATACTCAACCCCAACTCAGTAAAGAACTCAAATGAGATTCTTTTTTATGTTCTCTGTTCGGAGACTACTTCAGAAAGCGGCACATACCATTCAAACTGTTTTCCACTGCGTGGCTTTCTGCCATCATGGAGTTGTTTGTGCTGTAGCTTAATCCAAGAACCATTTGAAGATCTGAGAGATTAAGTCTGGCAGTGAGTTCTCCACTTCTGTCTCCTACCTTCAAGCAAATAAGCAGTTGTATTACCTTAACAAATAATCCCATGTGTAACATTAAAGCAATCCTTGTCCCCATGACTTCTGAGAGAAAAAGGCTGAAAAGGTTTTCCTGGTTGAAGACTGACAACATCTATTTAAAGAAGTAACAACTAACAGGTAACATAAAAAGCTAAAATAATCTCAGCTAGGCCACCAACTTTGGAGTCCGTGATGACATTGTGGGTGGTGACACTAGGACTAGGGAGCTGACTGGCTGAAATAACCTGGAATCAGCTGCCTCAGGAATAACTGAGAATGCATTCCATTGCTCAAAATCAGATGCATGAACACACCTCCATAACACCTCTGTGAGTGAGAGCAAAAACCAACAGCCAACATAGTGGGAATATGAAAATCATACCTCTCTTGAAATCTCCAGGTGCCTTTCTGCAAAATGGATGGCTTGGTCATGATTTCCCAGAGCAGTATAAGCATTCCCTAAACTCCAGCATGCTCTTCCTTCCCCAATTCTGAAAGCAACACACATTTGCAATTACACCTCTACCTGCTCAACACCAGAGGTCAGGTTTTCACAGCACTGACAAAGTCATTTGCTGTGCCAAAAAAATGGAGGCAATCATCACATACTAAATTTTTTTATTTAAAGGAGAGTGATCTGGTTATAAACAAATATGAACAAATTTAATTAAAAATTTTAATTTTTAAGCTCACATCAAACAAGTTAGTTTTGTAAGCATGGGACATTGTATAACCTACTTTGCATGCCTTATTAGTCCTCCGTATTCTTATTGACTTAAGAAGAGGGTACATTTAAATGTTGCAAAAAATTATGGTTGCACTTGACACTATAAAAAAGGCCTCAGAAATCAGTACTGTAATGTAAACATTACTTGCTGCTGTGTTATTCTCCTTCCCCCATCCCTTCCTATATTAACTCATGGGCAAGTAGAACACAGATTCTTTTGAAAGTAGGGTGAATTACTATAATGAACTCATGAAAGACAGATCTGCTTTTCCTTAATTTACACAGACATGCTGACAGGAGATTATGTAGAAACAGTCATTCATCAATTTGTCTTTCATCTCAGACTCATTAGCTGCAGTACCATTATGAGTAATTTTCGTTTTCCATATGAAAACCAAAGCCCGGCATTGGGGGAATTCACATTAATGCAGCTGTCACATGGGGAACAATAACAGCAGAATTGAAGGTAACAGGATTTGCTGAGTGTCACACATACATTAAACAATCTCTGAGGGCTTACTTGTCATGTAGCTCCTGAGCAATCACGAGGTGTTTGAGATGGTAGTCAATTGCTTTCTCATAGTCCTGGAGCAGAGTGTAGGTGTTCCCCAGGCTGTAGCAGGCCTGCGCTTCCACAGCTCTGTCCTTCAGCTGCCGAGCCAGCTGCAGTGTCCTCCTGCAGGAGAGGGTTAGAAACCTCAGAAACCACCACAAGGAGAAGCTTTCAGAAGTGCACATGCACAACTAAAATCAGTTACACAACTTCAACAAATTGGGGCAGCAGGCTAGCAAATTACCAGCTAATCAATTACTGTCTTGTAAACCCTTGCAATCTCACACTTGTAAAGTCTTCCACTCCCCTCCACTGAAACCTACTTCATTAGAGAGCAGGCTGATTCCTCAAACAGCATCTTTTAATTTACTGCTTCATTAATAATTTGTAGGAGTTTCCCTGACAGGTTGCACTGTTTAATACCAGTGTTACAATACCTACTTTCCCATCAGCAGGGCCAGGACAGGCATATACCCACCAAGCCAGCCTAGCCATGCTGGGCAAGAAGAATTGGAGTGCTCAGAGGGATCTGCTCAGTACTGAGGCTTTTCTCCCTAAGAACAGGCATGCTCTGAAATCCCAGTCAGATGCTAACAACACCTATACTGTATCTTTGCCAAGCTTTTACTTTCCCAGGTACAGCAGCAACTGCTTAGTGGTGCAGAGATCAAGGCAAGTCTGGCTTGAAAATACAGACTGAGGATGTAAATTGATGTTGCTGTGCACCAGCTCTCTCAGCTGGTGAGCACACCTGAGGCAGCCACTCATCTCAGGGTAGGAAAGCTACTCACATCATTCCAGAACTCACTAAGAGCTAAGACAGTAATGCCTGCTTTTAGAATAATGGGAATAAATGCCTAGCAGTGAAAGATGTCTGTCTACAGCACTGCAAAGAAACTATTTAAAGTAGCAAAAGAATTAACAAAATAAAAAGCATTAATGCTGCCCCTCCCTTAAGTGAACCAGAATAGTTAACAAAGGAAAAATTTCTTTGCTAAACAAATGGAAATTTTTCTAAAGTATATGTTGAAGCAATGGCTGTTCCACAGTGAGTTACAGTATCAGGCACAACAGAAGTAAACTGCACAAGAGGTATAAATTGTGTTTATCAGCAGTCTCTCACCTGTAGTATTCAGCAGCAGTTTCAAATTCCCCCAGGAATATGTAGGCATTTCCAAGGTTGCTGTATGCTCTTCTTTCTGCTGATTTATCACCAAATTCTTTTGCAATTAGGAGACGCTTAAAAATGTGAAATAACTGCATTAGTTACTCCACTTTATACTTTGTAACATACATTTGCATGCAGAAATGCATGAAAAAATCTCATTCTTTAGGTCAACAATGCTTGATAAGAACAGCCAAACTTGAAGTTCGTGCCATTAAGATTTAAAACCTGCATTAAAAAGCTTGCAACAAGATCCAACACAACACATGTACTAAAGGTCAGGAGCAACCTGATATTCTGCTAGAACAGAATTCATTACTAGCACATTGTTGTACCTGTTCATGGGCTAAAACTGCACTCCTGAAGTTGCCCAGAAGATAGTGTGTGTTTCCCAGATTTCCAAAGGCACGTCCTTGTGCTGCTCTGTCACCCAGCTCTGTCACTATTGACAGGTTTTCCCTGTTTTGGGGGAGAGTGAGAAGGAGAATAGTGACTTCTAAAAGGTTTGGGTTTTTTCTCACAGTAATTTAAATAATTTTTTTAATTCTTATATAAAGGAAAAGGCAGAGGTATTCTACTTTGGCCTATTTTAATGGCCTCTAAATAACCATGAATCTGAGCAAGAAACACTTTCTGTGAGATACCAAACTCCACTGCATTCTAACTCAAGCCAGTGTGCTCCCCTCTAGTTACACACACAGGCATAACAAGGTCCTGTTGTCTCAGCCTGGTTTGAAGAGTTCTGCTGGTTTCTAACTAAGGGCTGTCAGGTCAGTACAAGTGAGGGCATGATAAAAACCAGTGCACTGTCTTGTTTGAGAAGACCAAACTGACAGGTACCTCAGTTCTGCAGAGAAGCACTCCACAGTTTAGCTCATGGCACTGCAGATCTCCCACATTCTAATGAACGTGATCATATCCTCCCAGCCCCCAACACTTAAAGCTACTACTTACTCATAATACTTTGCAGCTTTCTCTAAAGCATTTTTCACATCATCTGGAAGTTCTCCTGGATCATGAGTCCCAGCATTAGCTACATTTTTCCCTTTAGAGTGATATACATTTCCCAGATTGTACAGTGCTCTTGCTTCTCCAACCTGAACCAGAAGTAAAAGAAGGCATTAAAATTTCATGCTTCAAAGTCTTCTGTCACAACAACTATTTGTACAATTCACAGATGGGAAAAAAGTTCCTTAACTATCTGCCATTAACCACTCTGCCCATTCTGAACATACTATCATCTACCCAGTCATGGCCCTCAATCCAATTGTTTTGTATACTACTTCTTTTTGACAAACAAGATACATTCTTGAGGTCAATTACCATTAAAAATGAAATTTAAAACAAACAAACCCACCACAAAATAGGGTAATATTTAACCTGGACCTATAGTCTTCCAGGTACAAACAACTGTATTCCAACTAATAGATTCGTACTGCCTAAAAGAAAAATTGAATATTCACTATTTCCCTCTGAAAGGTGCACATTCCTCACCAGTACCACAGGGTTCAGGAATGTGTGTTAGCACTTCACATCCAAATTCCTGCACAATTCTTACCTTATCATTAAGTTCTCTGGAAATATCCAGATGTCTCTGACAGCAAACGATAGCTTCTTCAAAATTCCCAAGTACCTTTAAGGTGTTGCCCAGGTTCCCACTAGCTTTAGCTTCTCCCAGTAGATCTCCAATTGTCCTAAAACAGCAGAAATTAAGTACCCAGGAAACAGTGTGTAATTTAAACCAAAGTGTGGTAGGGAATTACATGAATTTATGAAAGAGACCACAACTATGTAAATGTGTATGTGTTCAGTTCATTTTATATCTGAAATGCACTCAAGCATTGTTCAGTCTGTGGTTACAGACATCTCATTCTGTCAGTGCTGTCTGGCCAGCTGCTGGTATTCATGGTATTGATCATCTGCTTAACATGATTTTTTAAATTCATATCTTTTAAGAAGAAAATAGACATAATATTCTTAAATATGATTTAGAAAGACAGTCCCAGCATTAGAAAGAGAGGTTTAACTGCATTTGGGTTTTACTTGACCATCTCCTTTTAGATAAAAATCTCCTTTAACTTAACAAGACACTTAACTGTAAGGTTTAAGACTTACGGTCTCCTCTGTTGCCCAAAGCACTACTTCATTTCTAGATTTTAAATGAGACTAAGGCAAGAGACTGCCACTGAACCACTCAGACTGTCATACCTGGGGGACAACACAACAAAAACAAATGCCCCAAGGTCACTGCACAGGAGCAGGGTAAGGCGGGGGAAGAATAGATTTATGCCAAATTGAGGTTAAGTACATTATATGCCTGTGTCTTTTACTGGGTCTGTACAAATCAGTAAAAGTCAGACACATAAACAGCATATGAAAGGGATAGGGTTTTAGAATTTCACAGTATTACATCATGAGTTTTACACAGATAAACATTAAGGAGTTCTGTCCAGTAAACAAGAGAGCAGCTCAACAATACAGAGAACTAGAAACACTGAGTTTTAGAAACATGAAAGGATAAAGAAAGGGTGGATTTAAAGCAGCCATTTAATTATCCAGAAACCTGGCGAGGCCTCAGTCAGTTCTAGGATTATGGTGCTAGACCAAGTATTAGCTGCCAGGTTAGAGGGCACCCAAGTGACCTGGCAGGCCCCCCAGCCCTCTGCCACCACCAGGTTCACTATTAGCCAGTATTAATAGCAGGGTTTGGCAGGACAATGAACAGTCAGCTGCTCCTATCTCCCGGAATGGGATGACAGGGGGAACATTACCTTGCAAGAGTTAAATCGTGGTGATGGTATTCCAAGGCCTTTGCATATTCCTGCAGGTAGAAATAGGCATTGCCCAGCTGGCTGTAAATAGCACTCAGGGTTCGTAAATCTTCGGTTCCAACCTGCACAGCTGCTTCAAAGAAAGACACTCCAGCCCGGCAATCCCCTGCCTTGCACAGGCGCTCGCCTTCCAGAGCCAGCTCCAGGCAGGAAGCCTCCATCCTGCACCGGTGACAAGAAAGGCCAACAGTCACTGCCAGTGCCACCCTGTGCAGCACCTGAGCTCTGAACAGGGCATTCTCTTACTCAGACTGCCTCTATTTGTTTAGGAGAGGGAATCAGCACCACACTACAGCCAATGAGCTTTGCTTTAGAGTATTGCAGAAACTAAGGCTGAAATGGAAATTGTCATCAATTTCGTCCGTGAGAAGCAAAATAACATTTTAACAAACAGCTGGAATTTCTTATTTTTTCAGTCTCAGAGAAGAAACCAAACACTGCTTTGTCCATAGGCAGCACTCAAAGGGTTCAAAAACAGTTTTCACCATCTAGATAATTTCACAAAAGTTACCTAGAAATCAAGCTATTACTGACAAATACTGATTCTGACAAATGGAAGCACTTCAAATTTTAGGGTGATGCCAACCTGCACAATGATTCACAGGAAAACAATCAAATTCTGTGTATCAAAGACTGACTAATTTTCCCCAAGTTGCTTCTTCTGTAATTCAATACTCCTTGGTACTTAATTTCTTAAACTAGCACTGCTGTGAAAATTCTTAGTGTAAGAAAAAACACCTAGATTCAATTAATGACAAAATGTATGTTAATTCAAGTTATCCACTGATACACCATTATTCCAGAACCTACTGGAATATTTTGTATTATTATAAACAAGTAATTGTGCAATTATACGTACAAAATACAGCAGTCATGAATGAATTTGTAGAATATTACATTTTGAACATGAACAAAGAAGCTGATAGAAAACTACAGTGGCATTCACATGCATTTCTGCCCCTGTGAGCTCAGGAGTACAAAACACAACATTTCAGTGTTAACAATGTTATCCAAACGTTTCCTACTTTCTGGTTCCGAGATACGAGGGAGGCAGGGAGAGGAAGATGAGAAAGACAACAGCTCCAGGTCCTATTCTAAGCAATATGGTTCTCCAGCTTTTTCAGGATAGATGCATTTTAAAAACCTTGCAAAAATGTCAGTGTTTTATATTTTTTAAGATTTTTTCAAAATGAAACCCAGTAAGAGACATTCTGTAATTGTTGAAAAAGTATATGATAATATTGCCAAAGAGTGGACAATCAAATGCAGGCTTTTGCAGAAGTTATTGTAGTGGAAACACCAGATGACACCTGTTTTGACTTGACATAGTGATGAAGTTTTTAACATACCTGCAATATTTACATTTCTTTATTTTCTTAAACTAGAAAAAAAAAAGATTATACAAACTTCTACTCAAATCTGAACAAGAAAGAAATATTTTAGAAAAATCTAACTATTTCCAAAAGAGCTAGAAGAATTGGGATCACAAGTACAACACAAAACACAAAATACTGCCATACCTGCTGGTCTTCGACGTGCCACAACTTAAGCACAGCGAGATGACCGACATGTTTAACTTTTGCAACCAAAAGCACTGTCTGCTTGGTAGCTGCTAGAGATGCTGACAGCAAAAGAGAACTCCAGCATGAAGTTCTTGCCAAGCCCAACTTCCCAGGTTGGATATCCATAACACATGCAGTATTTTTAGGTTTGGAAACTCTTCTCAGAGAAGTCAGAGCATTCCTACAAGCTACAACACACCACCTGGCTCTCATGACATTGTGCATGTGTCGAATGTAAGACAGAAGAAGGCAGAAATGATTAAGTACAATTAAGTGCAAGGCAGAAATGATTACACCATCAGCAACTGAAGGTTTAGGACTTAAAACACTTCATTGGGTAATCTTAATCCTATCCAAAGAGGTTCTCTCCGGGCACCTCATGTTAACTGACACATCCAATTAGAGTGACAGCTAGAAAATATGGTGCAGATTTGGACCCTCACACAGCCACACTCTTTGGATTTTTGCTTGAATGGCTAAAAAGAGCAGAACTTCCAGCAAAATGATTGTGTGACATAACAGTGAAAATGCTACACTGGACTCTGCTTCGGTAAGTGAATTTATTCCATTAAAAACAAAAATTAACTGTGAGGCATCAGCCACATCATCAGTGAAGAAAAGGCAGTTAAAATGTACCAGGGCAATGTCAGAGTGCTGCAGTATGGTAGCCCCCATGAGAGACTGCATTCATCTAATTTCACACCACACCAAAAAATGCCAAATGGCAAGGCAGCATTACCATTTCATCAGGAAATCTGACATACAATCATTTGACTTTGCAACCTTAGATTCAGTATAACTTATAAAAATGAAAGATGTGGGATCTTTCATACAGAAAACAACTAAGAAGCAAATGGCTTAGAATGATGAAAATCAGCTGCTATTATAGAGTGTTTAAATTCAACCAGAATTACAGGAAGTAAATTAAAATGGGAATTAATAATTGCTTGAGTAAAAAGAGAATGCAAAAATTACACAACTCTTGAGAAGTTGTGTTAACAGGTTGCTAGAATCTGTACAGCAAATTAAAACTTTAATTCCATCTGGATCCATTCCTTTTGACCTACCATTTCAAAATCTAAGTAAGCTATACCAAAATAGAACAGAGAAAATTAAATATTTATTTCCACAGTTGCCTGCACTCAATATTTTATTCAGGTTATATAAGAGCTATGAAATCATTCAGTTATTTTAAAAGTTTCCGAGGCTTTTCCATTGAGTACCAAAACTGGATTCAGAAGAGGGTTGGTTTTGGTTTGTATGTTTTTTTCTCCCCTCTGCTACTTAAAGGACTCTTATGCAAATTAACACTTTTTTTTTGGTTTGGTGTTTTTTTTAGGATTTACGTAGGTGTTCTCCACCTGTCACTACTAATGGTTAAATAGCACTGTGGCAGGCTAGACAGGGCCAAGTTATCAATGTTTTAGGAAGTCATTAAATAGTTATAAGGAGAATATGACATTACTTTCTCTTTCCCTGGGCTGAATGGAATTATTTACTCAACACCCAGTGGCCAAACAAGAGATACATTGAATGTGCAGAGAGGAGAAGAGAACAAGCCCCATTCATCTGTGCACTCCTAAGGCAATTCTGTTCCTGCTGAACAGGACAGCGTTCTCTCAGAGATTACTTGAAAATGCTCACACAGGGCTTCATTTTGTCATGCTGTCTATAGCTGCCTGGCATCTCCTGAATAATTTCTCATTTGTAAAACTACCTCATCCTTATCTGGCCCTCAAAGCTTTTCCTCCTGCCTGGCTCCCCAGTATTTTTTTCTTTTCTTCTTCCCATCCCCGGCCCCTCCTTCTTCTCTGACCTTTATCATGTTCTATTTTAAACCTTTATTATTTCTATGAATATAAACCCTAAGCACATTACCTCCTTGTTTTATTCTCCCTCCCTTCAGCTGTTCTCATCTCACAGTAAGAACAAGAAAAGTGGTAAGAATTAAGTCAGTGGGAGAAGGTCGTAACACCCACCGATTACTACAATCTCCAAACACAATTTAGTTTTACTCAGTTCCATTCCCACTAAGAGGGCCTTTTGCTTTTGAGGGGGAACACAGCTGTCATAAATTTGCCTGAAACACACAAGTAACACACCTAGAGACAAAACAACCCATGACATCTCCTCAGTTCAGATGCACAGCATCCTGTATAAAGCTGACATACCACTCCTGACTCCTGCCCTGCCTCTTGGCTTCTCCCCGTGAGCAGAAGCCTCCACAGTGGCCACTGCAAACAGCTGCAGCCCAGCTCCCCTGCAGCACAGCTCCCCTGCAGCACAGCTCCCCTGCAGCCCAGCGCCCCTGCAGCCCAGCGCCCCTGCAGCCCAGCGCCCCTGCAGCACTGCTTCTGACACACTGTGCATGATGGGCACGTTAGAAACAACCCACACACAAAGAAACCACACCTGAATGCTGCCTTCTTTTGCTCCAGTCAAGATAAAAGCAGTTACAAGCTTTTGGTGGATGAATTTAGCAGGCCAAAAGAGGCAAGTTCTACAAATATTCACCCATTTATTAATACAAATCAAGTAACATTAGCATTTTGAGTCACTAAAAAAGCAACAACAAAAAAAACCTCCTTCCACCAGCGTAAGCATTTTTATAACATTCACCCATTTATTAATACAAATCAAGTAACATTAGCATTTTCAGTCACTAAAAAAACAAAACAAAAAACCCTCCTTCCACCAGCGTAAGCATTTTTATAACAGCGAAAGTGACACTGATGAATTACTGTGGGGAGAAAGAAACACTTGCACAGTCAGAAACAGACCCACAGTAAAGCCTTTCCTTAGGAGTGGGCTCCAACTTCTTTAAAATCAGTTTTAATGGAATGCCAGAAGAAGGAAAGAGCAGTCACAGCCAAACAAGCCTGGGATAATACCTGCAAGTAAAATTTTTAAAAATCTGATAACTCCCTCCCCAGTAATTTATGCCCTTTTATTTCCTGCACTAAACTTTAAACTCCAACAAAATAAAATATTTCCAAATTATAGCTTTCAATATCTTCATAAAATTCCAGGTCAATATACTGAATTAATCCTTGGTTTCTCAAAGTCTTAAGAAAGTTTTATTTGTTTTTAAATTAAAAGTATATTGCCATCATGTTTTTTAAAAGCGAATCAGATGATAGCTCTTGCAGAAAAGTTTAAGAAGGTCATTAATATTGTTATTGTTGATATTTTTAATTGGTCTCATTCAAACCTGTACTGAAATACAGCATAAGGCAGTAAGACATTGTGTCCTGACTGTGACTGCCAAATTTTTTAAAGTTTTTTTTATCTTGTCAGTTTAAAGCAGTCAATTGGCCCTGACACATTTTTCATCCATTTAATTCTGTAACAGTACCCTGAACAGCTCCTGCTTTTATTAAAGAGTGAGCAAGGACATCCTGAAATTGTCTGGGGAGGACCAAGAGCAGCAGCACCAGTGTGGGGAAACGTGGTAGAGAATGCTGGGCAGTGGGTCCCTTCAGGAAACACTCAGCACTCATGCTCACACACTTAGGGTCACAGCCACAGGATAAAGATTTTAGTCAAACAAAGAGAGAAAACAGTAAATTACAGCATTATTTGCTAATTTTTCTCCTTAATGACCATGAAACAGTTTCCCCAGCTGGCTGCACTGCCACCCAGGACACTGGACTTGTATGAAATTAAATTAAGGACTTCTCTTCTATCAAATGGAAGAGAAGACCACTCCAACAGCAATCTAACATTGTCAGAAGGTTGAAAGGATTAATTTTAAGCCATAACATGTGCTGTCTTACCAATACAGGTTAACAGCCTTATTGCTGTTAGCTAGTGAGGAAAAGACCTCCAAAGAAAGGATAATCAGGGTAGGGGTGGGAGTAGCACACAAGAACCACATTTTTTACTTATTTTTAAACAATCATTTCAGTCTTCCAGTGTCCTTTCCTACTGAATGAGCTGCAAGATTTACCCTTCCAAACACCATGCTCTACACAATGCTCCTGTAGTTCAGCTCCATTAGAGCGAGTCTGAAATGCTAACACGTTGTCCCAGGTCTGTAAAGGGGATTCAGAAGAAAAATTATAAAAGCTCTCAGAAGGGAAATCCCTTATCCTCTTCCCTTGCAAGTACAGTACTTCTGAGTGCAAGGCACCAAGGCAGTTTCCATAAGCAAGGAAAATACCTTGTCATTCACCAAAACAATAATGGGCCAAGTACAGAGAACTTTAACACACAAAACTCAGCAATTTGCATAGGCAGCCCAACAGCTATAAGAGGGAGCAGCTATTACCCTGCAGGCACCATACTTCATATAATTCTACCCCAAATATGAAGAAATACATGCATAAAGTATTATTCTGCTACCATGCAAATTCCAGTACTATACAATCATACTAATATAATCTGCTACACAGCAAGAGTGATTTTTCATCATTCAAAAATCAAGAAAAAAATGAATTTAATTTTAAATTTCAATAACACTACCAGCAGAGATATCAAGCTATTTGTTGCCACTTGTTTAGCTTTCTATTATTAACAGCACTTATTAATTTACAGCAGAATTACCGGAGTCTTACCTGTATCGCACGTGAAAGGAACGATCTTCAGGCATGCTTATCAAAACATTATTTTCCGCCATTGAGTTACATTATCAGTAGAGAAAGAAATACTGTTCTGTAGTAGGGTAAGTGCTTTATTATGGGGAATTGTTGTCAGAGCACCATTCCAGTTAGTATATTAAGAAGCTGGAGTAAAGATATCCTAAGCTCCTGTAGAAAAACTCTTCTTTATTACTGAGGTAGGGAGGTCACTGCCAGACACATCTCACACCTTCAGAAATGTTCACGTTCTTTCTTGCATCTGTGGCCCTTTAAGCTCCATTCAGCCACGGTTCTGCAAAGGGAACACAAGATGCTTGGCTTGAAGTCTTATGGTTAATAACTCATCAGCATTTGCAGCTGATGTAAAAGCATAACACTGCTCCTACGAAACAGGAAACGTCATTCAAGAACTTAAAGGCAGAGCCAAAGCCTTCTACACAGACATGGCAATTCCTGTAGGCAAGTGAGAAAGCCAAAGAGGTTTAACAAAAACCAACACTCTCTTGTCTTGGAGACTTCGAAGAATTTACCCTTGTCAGTATTTTCTGGCCTCATGAAGTTCCAAGCAAAAACCTTAAAGGATGAAAACTACAGAATGAAAGGCATAATATAGAAGAGATCGCAAAGTACTTTACGTGTAAACACTGCTGCTGAAACCATGATCATCAGCTGAAGGCCCACAGCAGCCAGAACTGTGGGCACAATCCCATCTGCAGATGATCCACTGGAGATTGTCCCACCTGCAATACTGTAAGCACAGCAGCCAGCAAAGGTTTCAGCTCTATATTGGCTTTTCTTTTCTCTGCTCCCAAAAGAAAAGAGGGGACTATGGGAGTTTGGAGGGCAAGTGGTGTTAACACTGGCTTCCTATTCAAAAATTCTGCAGCACTGCAATGTGAGCTCCAAACTCTGCTTCAAAGGGATTGCAGAAGCCAGCATATAAATAGTAGACATGTTTGGGCTGGCTGGGAAAAATTAACAGAAAAGAAACCCTGTAATCAAAGGTTACCCACTTTTAAACATATTTTTAGTAGAGACAGTGACATATTTACGCCTCAGTACTAATATTAACTTCCTTTCCAAGTAAACATGGAGTTGTGTAATTCACAAATGCATATTTCATCAGGAGACTGCAGAGGTGTCAAAAAGACAGGAACAGAGCTCAGACTCGAAGCTGTCATCAGAAGAATATGCAAACCTGTATATTTAATTGTCGATACAGCCCATGCCTTTTCCTCTCATTAGCTTTATCAAGTCCCAGCTGGGAAGATTCATGCTTCCCATCCTACTCTACCTTGATAGCAGCCCTCAAACAGACTTCCACATTCTTCCAATTAAACAAGTATTTTGCCCTTCCATGCTCATCACTAGAATTATTTGGCATCAGCAGGAGGGTGTGGGTGTATTTTTGCGATTATGAAGCGTGACACCCACAGGTTACAATTGCACTGCAACCCACACGCTGGGCAGGCTGTGTTCCAGGTATTCACTCTGTGGCAGTCTGTCCAGCCTCAGCTCAGGCAGCTCATACAGGCAGATGGCCCCAAGCCTATAGAAACCCTCCAGCACTCCTGCTGCTCAGCAAATCCAAGGGATTTGGAAGTTCTCTTCCACAGAGGAACGCATCACAAAGTAAAAAGTGTGTACTCTGGTACACATAGATCAGGAAATGAAGACTGTAGTAATTTTTTGGATATTTGCAATGTAATGGTAATTAACTGAATAATTTTTAAAGCTTTTTTAAAAATAAAAAGCCAACTTGAATTTTAAAAAGCAGTTATACTTAAAAGTACATCAGAATATCTGTGTTTATTTAAATATCAGTTATTTTTAGCAGTATTTTAGATCAGGTGTTTACAGCTTCTCTATATTTGAGCTACACATCTGTCCTCATCATCTGACTGATGCCACCAAGAGCTGGAACCACTACTCCTGTTTTTCTCCCTCCTTACTGGCCATACAGCACATTCCTAGTCTGGGGAGGGTGATACAGACACACCCACATTGACAAACACATCATCATCACAGATCCAACCACAATTACTGGGTCTGCTCTTCATACCTGGCTACTTCACGCGTAAGTCATTAGGATGCCAATTACGCCTTCAGCCAAGCCAACATGTAATCAGTAACCAAACCTAAATCACATTAATTAGAGTGGGGAATGCAAAATGCAGGAGATGGAAGTCAAACACTTGAAGTTGTAAACACAACATTTTAAATGCACAATTTTACTTAATACAGGAAGTCCTAAGGGTTTCTGTTATTTCGAAGTAGCAGCAAAAAGCCCACAGAGAAAAGGCTGGGTCTCCTTCAGGAGAGGGAAATTAAACTGGTGTTACAGATTACACAGTTGTTTGATACCAGAACAGAAATGAACATCAGCCTCACCACCTCCAGATCAAATGAAGCACAGCAGAGGTTGGGCAATCAAATGTAGCAGCCCTTCATAGCCCACAACAGACAAAACAGGCACGGTATCAATTCTTTATCAGAGGAAAATGGTGAGCCATAGTTAGGGATTACTCACCCTGGCTACAAACAGCTAAAGGATATTCAATTAAACCATCAATAAAAGGCCAATTTGCCTCAATTAAATACTCTATCTAAAAAATGTGCTTATTGCATGCAGAAAGTTACTTTTCTTTTTTTTTTCTTATTACTTTCATCATGCAAACCCCATCTGTATTCATATAGCTTCTGTAAAAATCTGTATAACCACAGATTTATAGAGAAGCTATATGGATACAGATGGGGTTTGCATTATGAAAGTACATCTCAACCTTCCATTAACATCCCTGCACTGAATCAGTGACACAAATGCTAAGATTGGAATAAGGCTCACTCTCTCTCTCTCACGAAAAATTACAGAAACCAAGACCCCCCTATTTTTAATTCTAATCAGTATGTTTTAAGTTCCTGACAGTGATAAAACAAAGGTTGCTATTTCTTTCCTCAAAGCCTCTATGCAAGCTAATAGTTCCA